TCTCCCAGTGCAAAGCATTCAGATTTATCTTCGGGGTCAGGCTATCAGCTCCACGCGGTCGGAGAATCTGTGTGGGGACCCAGCGTAGTAACATGATCCATCCATTTGCAGGGCAGGCCCTTCACAAAGCGATGGGGAAACTGAGCCTCGGATTCGAGAGCAGGGCTGCAGGACTTCAGGCCTGGGGAGCAAATCTGGCTTTCTTGCCCCGCCAGAAATAATTTGCCTCCTGCTGATGCACACCCCTTCCCCAAACTAATAAGCCGGGATGCTTCCCCTAAGCCTTTGTGACCGGCAGAAGCAGCTTCAAGCTGAAAGATGCTTTTTTGGGGTACGCACGCCTTCTGTCTTCAGCGCTGCTCACCTTGGGGGCAATCTCTGACCTCAGATATGGGGTCTAGTCCTTGCAAGAAGGAGGTTTTGCACCCTCCTCTGGAATCTGGAAATCAGAACAAATTAAACCGAGGCCCAGTGTGGTGGAGAGAGCTTCTTGCAGTTGACTGTGTCCTCTTCCAGGATACTCCATTCCATTTAACCTTAACAGTTTCCCATCTCCCCTTCCCCACTGCAACCATCAGCATTCCATAGCTACTTTTGGGCTCACTCCTCCACCTCTAGAGATGTTTCTAGAAACACATTCGTATGTTTGCAAATCTTGGGGCTCCTTCACAAGCCTGCCAGCACCCCCTCTTGTGTGCGATGGGCACTACTTTGGAAAATTGAGCCCATTTGAGGTCGCGTTAGCCCTTTCCCCCCCCTTGTATATACCATCAAAGAACCAGCTAGCGACTGGGCCTGAAGTCACCAGAAAGTCTACTGGCTGCATTTAACTGGAGAAGATGTGGAGCAAACGACTCCCATGCCCAAACCAAGCCGAAGAGAAAGGGTGCTTTCTCAGACTTAATTTCTCACCCTGTTTTATCCTCCTTTGATCAGAGAGTTACATAAGAAGAACAGAACATAACACGAAGGATTATGCATTGCAAGGAAGGGCTGCATCCTTTATGCAGCTTGGGAAAATAATCCCATTATTTGTTGTCTCCTCTCCTTCAGAGTGAGCAATGCAGGGCCGAGCTAAACGAAACCTAAATCAGTAAGATCCGGTTGGCTGCCTCGCGTGGCCGCCCCATCCTCGCTTTCGGATGCAACACCTGCGAGGAGAAAGAACCGCTGCATGTGATGGGAAGGGGGGGGGGGGGTTGCATGCGCGGTCACACGCACTCTGTTCCATTTGGCTTTGGGGAACGGAAGAACTGCTCATTCCGCTACATCGGAAATGTCCAAGCCCATCACAACACCCGACAGAGCACAGTACAGCGCATCCACCAACCCAGCTGAGCAGGAACCCCTCTCACACCAGGAACGGCGCTCCTGGGGAAAGCCAGCATTTCCCGTGGCATCCCTCGGATCACAGCACGGCTGGCCAACGGTCTTCTCGCCGGCCGAAGGCTCCCAAATTCACACTGGTTGCCCACAGAGACCCCAACAGATGGAGGGGACCCAAGACAGTGTTGCAAAGCTCAGACAGCTCACGTGTCTCTTTGCCACTGTCCTGGTTCGCATGATCACCACGGCCTTCCGTGGCTTGCCAGACCACACCGGCTTGTGGCACCTGCGGGGGCTTTGGGTCCCCCGCTGCGGCATCTTGTGCTGTTCAAAGCCAGCAAGGGGGGCTTGCTGGGCATGTTCACAAGCCGTGGATTCTGGGTGCCTTGTGCACTGCCCTGGCAAGTTGCCCCTGCCAGGTTCGAAGGACGCAGGGCATGCCTGATGGACCGTGATCGGGCCACTGGGTCGGCAAGCGCCACTCTGCGGCTGTGCAGCCCTGGTGCGATGCAAGCATGCAGACGGAGCTTTCCTCCAGCTATACTTCTGCTTGTCTGTACTTTCCGTGCTCCTCTTTCTCCTCAGAGGCCGACGAGAGCAAATGTGTTGACCCAAGTGACCTTTGGCCGATTGTTGCAAAATCCCAGCTCACTCCATGTGTTGTGGGGGGCAAGGAAGATGCAGCGTTTAAAAAATGGGGCAACTTTTATAAAGTGTTTGAGAACAGGTCCATCAAAATGGCCAGTGTCTCTCTCATGATGTTTTGCTAGTCAGAACAGCAGTTAGGCAAACTGTAAACAGGAGTCTCAGCAGACTAAGAACAGTGGCTAAAAAAATCTAAACACAGAAAGCAGGCAAAAAGGAGATCTAAAAATCAGTTGCCTGAACAGGCAGGCCTTCTGGCCTCGCCTTTGGAGACGGTGTGTTGGGGCCGTGTGCTCGAGAAGCCGCTGCCTAAAATTGGTGCCCTCACTGAGCAGTTCCTATAGACAGTTGCTGGGTGGCATGTGGAACATGGCCTCTGTTGGCCAGCTGCCTATTTGGGTCTGGCGTCCTGCAGGTCCCAGGGGCAACACCAAACGTTCCCTTGTCCTTCTGAAACAAGGGGGCAATTTCTGCTGGAACCGTGGCGGAAGAGGAAAGGGTTAACGCCCCCTTCCCTGCACTCCTGATCTTTCCCACCCCCTCCCTGCAATGCTACAGGTAAGCAAGTCCACAAACCTGTGTACAATGTGTAGGTATGCCCTTCGCATCACGTGCTGTGCTCTTGCGCCATTTAATCCGTCAGATGCCAACCAAACATGCGGCAAGTGCTTTGGAATACCGCTCGCCATTCCATGTTTAAAAAGTCCACCCTAAAACACATTTTGTTCCAATACATGGGGTTGTATCCAGTGCTACTATGAATTTGAGTAACCTGTTGAAACGAGCGGTCAAATGCTCTAAGTCAGCTTCCCTCACCTGATGGCCTTCAGGGTGACATTTGGACCACAGCTCCCAGAATTCCCACCCGGCATTGGGCCACTGGCTGGGAATTCTGGGTGTTGCAGTCCAAATGTGTCCAGAGGGCACGAGGTGGGAGAGGGCTGCTCTGAGCCTATTTCTCATTGCAGGCGTATCTTACCTTTGCCGCTGCAAATACTGGCCTAATGCTGGAAGCAAAGGATGGTTGATTCTGACTAAAAGGTGAGACCTGCTCAGGGCCGGGGGCATTATTAGTAAAGCGAACACTGACATCTTCCAAAAGGCTTCCCAAATAAGTAGGCAAGATGCCCACCAAGCCTGCAGAAACACAAAACCTAGAAATGTTCCTTAGGATAGGAAGGCTCCCTTTCCGGAGCCACCTCTGCTGAGACGCACTGCCTGTTACTCAAAGAGCAGCTGCAGGGAAAACGCAAGCTGGTCGACCAGCGACTCAGGCGTCAGCGATGGCTTTTAAGGCTCGAGCCACTTGTCAAGCGTTGTGTGACGGATCTCTCGCACAGAAGCCGGAGTTGTTCTGCTGGGGGCAATTCCTGTTGGAACGTCAGAGGCCGCACACGATGCGACAGTCCGTGGGTGTAGAGACCTCGCCAGTGACTCCCCCCTCTCCGTGGGACCGACACAGCCGGTTGAGCCCTGCGTGCAGGCTGGAGAAAGGACTGCACTCTTCCGAGGTGCGTGTCCACAGAAAGCATGTCCTACAACTCCCATCATTCTCCCGCCAGCAATGTGGGGTTTGAGGAGCAGTTGGAGAATTTTAAAGGAGAGCACCACCAGAGGTGGAAGCCAAGGCACAGCTGGAGTTGGGTGTTTTTGCTGGAGGAGAGGCAGCCATTGTGTGTGTGCACACAAAAAAACAGATGCGTGAATAACGGGGCTTGAGGGAGGGGTGCCGTGGGAAGGAGCCCTTTAAAGCCAGTCTGCGGCCTTCCGGGTGTGGGGGAGAGAAGAGGGGGTGCTCCATGCAAGGAGCAAGGAGCAGGAGACGGATGGGCCGGTGGGGCTGCCCAGTGCCCTCCATTCTCTGGGCGTCGCTCCCTGCCGATGTTTGAAAAAAATACGGCTGCTGGACCGGGCAGCTTCCTGCCCAAACATTTCCCAGAATGCCCCGGAGTGATGCTACTTCAAGGGGATTGTGGGAAACGGAAATGGCAGCACACCACTGAACTGCAGCTACTGCCGGTAAGCAAGCTTGCTGGATGGCCAGGGATATAGGAAGAAGCAGACCTGCTGAAAGGCGAGGGGGCCCTTTCTATTTTTCTGCCCCTCTTTTTTAGACAAAAAGCAATTATGGGTCGTCTTTAAAGGGCCTGTGAGCTAGCTTAATTGCCCGATTACTCCCCCCCCCCAGAAAACCCCCTCAGGCTGACGATGAGCCTGGGAAGAGGCTGATTGGAGGTCGGGGGAGCACGGAATACACCCCGTTTGTTTTTAATCACAACTGGAAACCATAATTACACTGCCGAGAACCACCCCGGCCATGTCCAGGCACCTTCAGGTCGTGGAAAGCTCGGGTGCTAGCGAGAGACCCCCCTCCTCTGCTCACCCTTGACAAGCTACTGAAGAGGCGGCGAGTGAAAGCCCATGAATTCAAGATCTCTCCGGAGCCCGTCTGAGGCCACGGGGCGCTCACATCCGCAGCCAAGCAAGCGGGGCCTTGGCAAGGATCGCACCGAGAGAGCTATTAATAACCTCCTGCAACCGCCCTGGGAAAAAACCAGGCAGATGGCTGCAGTCCCGCCGGGGCACGCTTCGTGGGTGCAGGGCCAGCGATGGATGCGCCGGGAGCAGGCGGGATCGCGCTCCTCATCCATGTCAGATTTGGCTCGCCAGTGCGGCTGCTCCCAGGCAGCTGCTGGCGGCCTGCAGCTGCATCCTCATCGCCTCCACGGACGGAGACACCTCCTTTCTTAAAAGCCGAGCATCCCCCGTATCGCAGCGGCCAGGCTGGACGGCACGCTTTCCCCCACAATTCCCCATCAGCTTCGTGCCACAAGCCCCTCTCAGCGGAACAAAGGAACACCCAATTTATCAGCAAAGACATTAAGGGGATGGTGGGGAACCAAGCCCAAGGCTTTCCCTCCCCTTAGCATCGGGGTCCCAACAAGTCCACCCATCAGATATTTCCCCACAGACCCGCCTGACGTGCTTGAGCCCTTTCCTCCATTTCATATAAGACGCCACCCGAGAGGGTCTGTACCACCCTGAGCTTTAATCCTGCCTATCGGATGCTTCTCAAATCCTCTGCGGTTGCTCAGCATCGCCCAAGAAAATTGAATCTTTACAACACACCGTGGATAAATAAATTACACTATACAAGCAACAACACTTTGTACAACCTCACGCTTCACCAGGTTTGCTCCAAGTGTGTGTCTGTCTGTGTGTGTGTGTAGCCCAAACACAATTCCATGCCGGATGCACGAACTGCGTCTCGGTTTGAAGGATTGTCCGGTGCTCCCTGGTCTGCGGTTCTGGATCCACCAGGCAGACGCTTCACTGCAAGGTACATGCTGCAACAGGTAAGAGAAGCGGGTGGGGGGAACGGGCTTGTGTCCGTGTCAGAATGAACGCATGTTGTATCAGCAACAGTAAGTTCGAAAAGGGAGGGAGGAAGCCCCGCGGGGCATATGCACCCACCAAATGGCGCATCGGAGGGCACCCAGTCTTCCAGTTGCTTCCCCTCCTCCCTTTGGGGTAGGGAAGGCCTGGGGGCAGCAAAGCCATGCTTCCCTGAGCTCGGCTTTGCTCAGGCTTTGCCCCCACAGGGAGGAGGCTGTGGGAGAGGCTAGGCGGGCTTCCCGACCGTGATACCGGCTGGAGAAGGGCTCCTCCGCGGGTGCCTTGGCTCGGGAGCAGCTTTGCGCAGCCTGGGATGCCTCAGCGAGGGAAAGCCTGAGCAGAGCGCGCCCTGGGGGAGGCAGGAGGGAGCCCTGCCCATGACGCTGAGCCCCCGGACACGGCCGGCCCTGGGGAAGGGGCTGGGGGCGATCCAGGGCTCCGGTCAAAAAGGGTTCCTTGCACCTGCCCTGGGCAGAATGCGGAGAAACGCGATTTCTCCATCGAATGCCATTGTTGCCGCTTTCACTCCTGTGCCGCCCCGTGGCTGAAGCTTCCTGGGGCAGTTGCAAAATCACAGAACTGACACAAGATAATAAAATGCGGCACACGGTGTCGGAATGCAAAATGATTAAAACAGCCAGAAACAATCGGGATACGAGACTTCTTCAAACCGGCTGACATAAATGCCCACAGTGCTGTTAAATACCTTTAGGTACCCTTAAACACCTGAGAATAGAGGGCAGCTTTGACCTGGCACCGAAGAGGGGACAGTGCTGGCACCTGGTGGGCCTCAGCGGGGAGATCATTCCATGGCTGGGGGGCCACACTGAGAAGGCCCCCTCCCTCATGACCAGCTTCCGACCCTCTCCTGGAGATGGTGCTCCCCGGTAGATACTGATTGTAGTGTCCAGGTCGATTCAGGTACATGGGGGGAGCAATTTCCAAGGGGGATTTTGTGGGTGAGGGAGGAAGAGCGAGTCCCCTCGCCTGCTACAAAGCCCCTGCAGGGCAATTCAGCTTGCAGCAAACTTCTTCCCGGGGGAGGCTTTGTCCTAAGCCTAACTGACAGCTGGGAGACAGATTTCGGGGGGGCCGCGCTTCGGGAGGAGAGGGTTGTGCTTCCCTTCCCCACTTGGCAGCCCCCTCCCCTGCCCCATGGGGCCAGAGAAAAAGACACAGAACGCCCCTCCACCGGCACCCATGGAAAGACCGGGCCTCTACATTGGACGTGCTTCTCAGCCCCCCACCTCCACCCCACTGCATGCCATAACATGCTGACCCACTGCCCAGCTGGAAGTTTGGGCATTATCCCCTCTGGGAGCACGAGGGCCTGGGGACGGTGACGCGGCCCCAGCAGGAACGCCAGCCAAAGCGGCAGCGTGCCGGCCGGAGAGCGGGTCAGCTCAGGTCACGGGGATGCCAGATGGGCCTCGGCCAGTCACTGCTCGTTGAGGGTGGGGAGTTGTGGAACGGACCGGGGGGCCACGGACCGAGAGGATCCGCACGCAGGGGCGAAGCTGGCCTCGAGCCACTGGGGGGGGGGGGCTGGTGAAATCCACTGAAGCAATTCAGCCTAAGCGGAAACGGATCGCTCTGCGGCGCCGGCCGGCTCCCGTGGCTACCTTGCTTGACTCTTTCAGGCCGCAGAGCTTATCGCGGGCAAAGATGAAAGATTAAAATCATCGTCAGCAGAAGAACGCCCGCTCATGCCTCCGGGGGCCTGGAATGTCAAGCGGCGTGTTTTTCTCCCCACCCAAAATGGAAATGCGCTTTACTGCTAGCAAATAGCCGTTTCCTCGCGCCCCTTCCCCTTCCCCTGCATCTGCTCCCTGCCACGCCGCTTCGGTCTTCCCCTCTTCCTTGGGTTGGCTAGTTTCTAACCTCTTCCCCTATAAATATAAAACCTGGAGCAGCAGCGAGGAAATAGCGGTGAGCAAAGAGACTCATCCTCAGTCCAGTGTGAGAGGGAGATGCAGCTGTTCCAAGGTCTCACGCTGCTAGAAGGGATCAAAGACCCCACAGCACAGGGGGCCTTTTGAGTTTTGAGTAACTCCAGCATCTTGACGCGCCAACCCTCAAGCCCTTCGGCTTGGGCTGCCTGGAAGCTGTTGGACTCTCTTGTCTCCAAACCAGGATTGGGCTCTCCGGGGTTTTATTTTTAGGGCAGCTAATTCTAATCTGGAAATGGGTCTGCTGATTTAAGAACAAGTTTCTAGTCCCCATGACTGCAGAGGTAAAGAAATGGGGGTATTAGTATAGTCCATGGGAGAAGGGAAGAAGGTGCCCCTGTGAGCATCCGAGGATTAGGGAAGCCATTTCAAACTTGGGGGGGGGGGGGGTGGGAAAAATGACTGGGTGTTGGGAGAAAGGGGGAGGGGCCTATAGAAGGGGCGTGGCTGCCTGAGGAAGCCTGGGAAGCCTAAGTGTGGCCTTAGGACCAAAGCTTGTGACCATTGCTGTGACCATTGCTGTTGCCAATGAGCAGCACCGGGGGGGGCCGTGAATGGTCGGGAAGGCTGAGTGGGGACTCGGACCCGCACCCCCCAGGACCAGCTCTCCCGCCACCAGGCCACAGCATCTCCCTCCGCATCGACAGAAAGGCAATAATGAAAATCCAATAGTGAAAGATCAGCACTGGGCCGTGTGAAACAGAATCGATAGATGCAGGCAGCAGGGAAGAAAATGGACCCGTCAGCGGGAGTTTCCCCCAGATGCTCCGACACTAATCACGTTTTAACACCCCATGGAAAACAAGCATCCCTTGGCCCACCCTTCAAGGGGAGTCATCCACGGCACACGCCACAAGTAGCGGTGGCACAAAACGGGCCTTGGCTGCGGACTGGCGCGCAGGAGCAGAGACCGGAGCGGTGATGGCGTGGCACCTCTTGCAGGACTGGCGTCCCGACGCGCCGACCGTCCGTGCGTCCCAGGCCCATCCACAGCCACCCTCCCACGGGGACCGGAGCCACGCAGCCCAACGCTGCAGGAAGTTTCCATCGTCAGCTTCTCATGTGGCTTTCGAAACCCAGCCAAAGAAAAGGCACGGAGAAGGCCCCCCGGGCCCCGGCCCAGCACGGATCCCGAGGGGGCCGGCGGGGACACGTGCAAGATTCGGCGAAGCAAGGTGGAACACTCACAGCTTTTCACAGACTCCGACATTCCCTCTCTGGCTTCCCACTGCGACTCCTTTATCTGCACAGAAAGAGAAGGCGGGTCACTTCCGCGGATCGTTGGAAGGACCCGAGGAGCAGGCCAAAGGTGAGTGCAGGTCCACGGGCCCTCTTCCCACGTGGGCCGGGCAGAGGCTCCCGAACAGGTCCCCCGGCAGCTCTTGCCCCCAACAACTTGGCTTAAAGGTGGGGCTGCGCTGCAAAGCGGGGTGGCTGCCACGGGTAGGGCTGTGGCTAGAGAAGGGGTCTGCCCACGCCGGCCTTCCTTAGTCCTAAGCCGCTCCCATCAGCCCCAGCCGGCACCGCCAGTGGTGGGCAGCTGGAGGCAGGACGGCTCGAGGGACGGGAGGGAATCCAGAAAGAGCTTTGCTGGACTAGACCCAAGATCCACTGAGGCTCCTTTTCGCAGTAATCCCAGACCTCCCTCAATCTTAAGAAGCAGCAGAAATGATGTTTGGAAATAACGGGCATGCAAAGCGCCGGCAAGTTACCCTGGGTGCAGAATCACGAACGAACGAACCAAAATCCCACGCTCAGCTCCTCGGTGCACTTCCTACCTTGATCTGCTCCTTCAGGTATTCAGCTCGGCCCATCAGCGTCTGGATCTGTCAACACAAACCCCAAACTGCCATTCACACATGCTGTCCTGTGCGCTCAGGAGACACGAGCAACGTGTCCTGCATTCGAAGGCAGGTGGGCCCAACTTCCTTGCGGAAGCTGAGCAAGCCTGAATACGGCCGTGGCCTGGATGGGAGCCCACGCACGCGGCCAAGGAAGGAAGCCGGGCCGTCATGCTGTTCTCCCCACCGAACCCCCAGTCTGGATTCTGCAGCAGGAGAGTCCGGTATGAGCTACGCAACACAATTCTGCAATCTATGCCGTTTCCCCTAGCTTTGGATACACGGATTACCCATGCTGCACCAGAGGACACCCCCCACACACATCACAACAGGAAAAATCTCAAAAAAATGGGAGTCAGGGGTCAGAAGAGAAGCTAGATTCATTCGGAAACCAGTTTTCCATAGTGATTTGGCGAAAACTCTGTGTGTGTGTGTGTGGGGGGGGGGAATGCAGGGATCCATTTTTTCTGCTTTTGTCCCCCAGCCTTGCTCAACTCCAACCTTCACAGCAGTAACTGCAGCCGAAGCAAGAAACCACGGGGGTCCCCGTGTGGCGAGGAATAGCCTACCTCCGCATGCAGCAGCTCCCGTCTCCTCCCCGCAGGCTCAGCTAGAGGAGAGGGGAGAAAGGGGGGGCCGGGTGAGACGCACCAAGACTAACCGGGGGGAGGTCACGGCAGACGCCCAGCGGCCCTCTCGCCTGAGCGCAGGCAGCCAAATGCCGCTTGCCCACGCCACGCAGCTCCTCTGCCACTCGGTCACACGCGTCTGGTAGACTGCCTCTGAACCAGAGGCTCTTTCCATAATGCTACGGCTACCGGCACTGCTAGAATCGTCTTCAATCTCTGCTTTGAGGACGCTATCCCACCGAAGGCACGTGGCTTCAGGGGCAGCTGTGTGCGCATGGCTGCCCGTTCCTACCCAACATGAGTCATCGGCAAGAAATGCTGCCGTCGTCGTCAGGATCGCTTTGCTCCTGGTTTTCTGTGCTGGTAAGCCACCCAGAGACCCTTCGTACTGGACGGCAGAGAAACCAGATGTCTCCCGATGCTGACCCACAACTGCCCCTCCTGCCGCTTCACCCCACCCTCAAGCCCCGTTCCCTGAGCAAGGCTGCACCCCCTTCACGCAGCAGCCGCCGCCTCGCACTCCTTCCATGCGCACCTTAAGCAACGCGGCCCCTCCTCCCTCCTCCTGCAGGACGGCTCTCCCAAGCCGCGGGCCTGCTCTCCCCTTCCCGCCCCGCATCTCTGCTCTCAGCCCCCTTTCTTGCTTTCTCTTTCTGCCACCCTCTCTCTCTCCCTCTCTCTCACACACCCGCCCCCCAGCGCGGGGAATTGCCGTCCCCCAAGAAGCACCCTTGCTGCCCTCGCGTCAAGCCCCCTCCTCACCGGCCAGCATCAGCAACAGTTCGCCCAGGCTCTGCTGGTAGAGCGCCAGGGCTTCGTGGTCGTCCCTGCCCTCCTCCTCCTGGAACAGAGACACAGGGAGCGGCCGTCACGGGGCGCCCCCTCCAAGAGCCGAACGAGAGGGAACGCAGCCCCGGGCCCGCTCGGGACACACAGCCAGCCCGGAGTGAGATGGCGGCCATGCGCCCCGTGCTGCGGAAAGAGCCTTCTCGGGGCCGCCACCCCAGCCTGCCACCCCTGGTTCTGGAAAGCAAGACGGGCAGGGGGTTGGCCGTGTGCTGTTCTGAGTGGCACTGGGCCGGAGACTGTCCCACTGTCCCACTCCGGAGAGCAACTCACTGTGGTGAACAACCCACCGTGCGCAACCCAGCAGCGCACCGTGGGACCGGCTCGCGAGTCGCGCACGCGACAAGCCCTGCCCCGTGGGCCCCGCTGGAGCCGGCGAGCACGGCCACCGGCGCCCACCGGCCACCTCTCCCGAGCGGGCGAGCTAACGGGGCGCCTGACCTTAGCGACAGCGATGGACGCGACTTCCAGGGCGGCGTGAAGGCGAGGCTTGTCCTTGGACATCTCTGCAACAGACCGGAGACGCGGGGCGAGCCGGGGGCACAGGGAGCAAGCGAGACGCGCAGGCAAGTGAGGCCGAGCACTCGTGCAGGAGCTCAGCGAAAGCGCCACCCCAGCCGGCACGCTTCAGCGTGTTTGAAAGCAAGGAATAAGGCATTTGCTCGACTCTGGCGCTTGCTACTTGGGCCCGTCTCAAACTTGCCAGGAAATTAAAAGATCAGATCAAACCAAAAGATACTGAGTTTGTCGGGAAAAGACACAGCCGACACTCCGCTGTTGGGTGGCCCTTCTATCACAGTATATACGGCAGAGCAAGCCGCTCGGCCTGAGCTCGGGTATCTTGGCTGGGGAGCCGCGTCCCCTGCTGGCCAACCCCTCTCCAGCCAGAGGGAAAAGCACCCTTTCCAGCCACCCTGGCTGAGGATGATGGGAGTCGTTGCCCAGCGTGCCCCTGCAGGGCACCACTTGGGCAGCGCTCGTTCAGAGTTCGCGCCCGCAGAGGCGTGGGGTGGTTGCGGGCGGCAAAGCAGCGGAGCCTCCCGTGCCCCCCCGCCCGGCTCGGGGAGCCTACCTTTCAGGATCTCTCTGGCAGGACAGCCCTGCTCCAAGAGAGCTCTGTTGCTGGAGGCCACCAGCGCCTTGAGCTGTTCGGCCCGCGAGACGTATTCGTTCACCTACGGGGGGGGGGGGACGCCCGTGAGACGAGGGTGGCCGTTAGCAGAACCCCGGGGGATCCACTCACCGCCCAAGGGCCAAAGCCCACGCAGAGACGCCCCTGGGGCTGCCCCTGGGGTGGGGGCCCAAGCCAAAAGGGGAGGGTCCACGATAAACTCCACCGACCCATTTGCACTGATCCCTGCGCCTGCCAGGAGCTCGGCCTTCTTGGGAGAGGCAGTTTGAACCGGCGGGGGGGCACAAAAGCTGGGACCCCACTCGTGCTCGGGGAAAGGGGAGTTGGGCATGGCTTCCGGTGAATTCCAGAGTGCCAGACGGGGGCTTCAGGGCAGGCTGGATTTGGCCCCCGGAACGGAGGTTCCGCACCCGCATTAAGTAACGACACCCTGTTAGCCAGCTTGGGGCATTTTGGAAGAAAGGCAGCCTGTTGTCTGAAAGGCACAGGCGGGAATTGTGGCTTTGCTCAGCTATTTGCCCAAAGAGCCACTCGCTGCCAGTTCTGCATCTGCAGCACACCTGGAACAAGGAATGTGCTGCTTTCATCTCCCCCACGTCAAGGCGAGTCAGTGCTTGCCGGGAGCCCACCCCCCGCCAGTCTTTCCACTTCAGCCCCAAACGTGTCCCCGGCCTGCCCACGGCCTTCCCACGGGGTCGGGCAACAGGGCTGCCGGCTCACCTTGGACCGGAGCGCTTCCTTCCTGTGAGCCTCGGTTTCATCTGCAGGAGACAAGGAGGCAGAGGTGCGTTACACGGAGGGGCAAAGCCAATGCAGTCAGCATGGGGTTACTCCAGGTGAGCTCGGAGGGCTCTTCTGGCTCTGGAGGAGGATGAGTAGAATTACCCCAGGGCACCTCCCCATCAGTCGGGGGGGGGGGACTCTTGAGGTGCCCAAAGATTAGTCTCCTGAGCTGCTCATACTAGCAGGTGTTTGGGGTCCGAGCTGCAGGTGTCCGGGGTCTCGTCCCCACCCCACTGTGACACTCAGGCTTAGCCCCGACTGGAAATAAGCGTGGCCTTAGCTTCCCATGACGAGCCGGGGACGCCTTCCTCGCGTCCGATCTCTCGGACCTCTCGGACGGAAGGTCTCTCCCTCCAGGACGGATGCAGTCAAGGGGAAGGCTTGCCGGGGGCAGGGGGGCTTCCCAGTGGAGTTCACGGCGTGTTCTGCACTGCGGCTCCGAGAGCGGGAGGAAGGGCGCCCGGCAGAAGGGGAGGGCACGGGGGTTACGCACACTGCAGAGCAGGGACGAAGTACTCCAGGGCACTGGAATAGAGGGAGAGGGCGGCTGCGGCCTCCCCCTCTTGGTCCTTCTTCACAGCTTCCGAGACGAGAGAGGTCTGTGGAGGGAAGGGGAGGCAGATGGCGGAGAGGGGCAGGCGAGGGAGGGAGGGAGGGAGGGGGCGGAAACACAGACACAGAGCGAGTCAGAAGGGGTCTCCAGGGCCATCTAGTCTGACCTCCGGCACCAGCCGGCTCCGCTCGCCACATGCCCACCATGTCGGAAGGAATGGCGCGCCCAACCTTGCCCTTGCCTGAAAGCTCAGCGGAGGAGCTGCTGGGTGTATCCCTTGCTCTAGAGAAAGCCCATCTCCTGAGCTAGTGAACAGCTTTTCACGCCGCTCCACCAAGGATGTGGCATCCCTGGAGGCCTCACGAGACGGATGCTCCCAAATAACAAACGCACGAACTGGGGCGTGCTTGTGGAGGCAAACACGCATGAAGACAGTGCGGTGTAGTGGTTACAATGCTGGTCCGGGACACCAGAGATCCAGGCTCTGGTCTCTACTTGGCCATGAAACTCTCTGGGAGGTTTCGGGCCAGGCCGAACCGACCTCACGGGGCTGTTAGGAGAGCGGTGGAAGCTTCTTTGGAGAAGCCGAGAAAAGGCAGGACAGAGACCAGTAAATACAGGGCAAGGAACAGGCAGGGGCTCAGCGGTCCCCAGCGCCATCTGCACTCACGGCTTTGTCCAGGCTCCTTGCGCTGGGCATGTGCTCCATGTCCACAAACGGGTGCGTGAAGAAGGCCTGGAAGGAGAGGCGCTGCTTGGGATCCCTCTTCAGGAGGCCCTGCAGGAGGTCCCGACATTCCAGGGAGAGCCGGGGGCGACTGGGGAGCTAGGAAGGAAGACGGACGGCAGCACAGGTCAGGGGGCCGTGTCTCCCCAGCCCTGAAGCACAGCAGTGCCAAAGCGGAAGGTCATGTGGCGTTCAGGAGAAATTTGGGGAGGGATGCTATTCTGAGCCGAAGATGAAGCCGTAAAGGAAGAGAGGAGCGTTCACCCCCTCCAGGGACTCCGGAGGCGCTTCTGCAAGGGCCATCCCTCAAAGAGGTGAGGGGGTGGCACACAGAGGAGGGGCCTTCTCGGTGGCTGCTCCCTGCCCTGGAATAGCCTCCACCAGGAGGCTCGCCTGGCGCCATCTCTGTTCGCCATCTCTATTCACCAGGCCCCAACGTTTCTTTTTAATACCTTTTTCAGCCACTGATCTGCCCTCCCCAGCACTGCTGCTTATCTGCTTGTTATCGTTAGGTTTAAAATTGTAATAGGTTTTATGTTATTTCATACGTGTTTTTATCTTTCTATATGCATTTTACGTTTTTATCTTTATTGTAAGCCTCCTTGAGACTATGGTAGCAGGCAGCATATACATGAAAGTACAAATAAACAAATAAACTCTGAGGAGCAAGCGGGAGGCGCTGCCCTAGTAGATCAAAATTAAACGGCAAATGCAGAGTTTCCAGACACGCAACCTTGTCTAGCTGTTGCTACATGCCATCGAGTTGTCTCTGACTTACAGGGGCCCGATGAACAGCTCCCCGCCCCCAAATGTCCCACCCTTGACAGCCCTGCTCAGCTCTCATAAATGCGAACAGCAGCTTTATGGGAACGAGCCACCTTGTACTCGGTCTCCCGCTTCTGCCTTCAGCTCGCCCGGGCACCATTTCCTGCTCCAGAGCGTCTTGTCTGGGACAAATGTGGCCCCGCTGAGACACCGCCCACCTATTGCTCCCCGTTATTCCGTCCTCCTGCTTTCCCACAGGTGCTGGCGGAATTGGGAGGAGCAGGGCTGCGCGAAGGCACAGAGGCATGCAAGGGGGACAGAATCCTCCCCGCCCCTTCCAGGCACCTCAGAGAGGCAGTCCTTCGGCAGGCTCGAACCAGCCCATCTGCGCTCCCTCTCTGGGGACCACCCCTTCCCAGCCGAGGCAGCATTACCTCGATGGGCTGATTACTGCGGATCTTCTCCTCCAGCTCCAAGAAGGACTTAGAGGCAAACGGTGGCTGTCCAAAGAGGGTCTCTAGGGAAAAAGACACACAGAGGGAAGAAGGAAGCCCGGGCTGGAAGCTACACGCACCACGAGGAGCGGCACCCGTGGCAAATTCAGCCCTACTGTTCAATGCCAAGATTAAGCGCCCTGGGAGTTCCTTGCTGCCCCTTTAGCGGCTGTCAATGCTCTGCAGGGCAAGTAGCTCAGACCACATGGAGCACTGCACCGTGCGCCCTCAAGAACATGTGCGGGCCTTCGACTGCTTCCCCTAGTGATGGCTTCTCGTCCTCCTGTTTCCGCTAACCATGGTCTCCTGAACGGTCCCACAGGCAAGCCACGGTGCGCACCCGGCCACACCAGCCACTTGCCTGCAGCTTAAGGCCACGCGAGATTTTTAGCGCGGCTCTTTCAGCCCCCCCAGGTTTTGCCGCCGAGATGCCGCGGAATCCAGCAGCACAGCCCGACTCCCCCTCCTCCCGTCCTGCTTACCGTAGAGGATCACCCCCACGGACCACAGGTCAACCCGGGCATCGTACTGCCGGCTGCACACCATCTCCGGGGCCATGTAAAGCGGGGACCCCCTCAGCACGTGCTTTTCATCCCGCGGAGACATGTGCTGGGCGAAGCCGAAATCTGTCGGTGGCGGGAAGAGACAACCAGAAGAGCCCTTTGAAGCAGCCTTGGAAATAAGCTCGCAAGGGGCACTGGACAGGGGGAAAAGGCCCATCGTGCTGCTGTGGGGTGGAAAACGGGGGTCCCTCTGGAAGAAGGCCGGGTACGTGGGGTGGGGATTTCCGATGGCCAACCGGCTTGGTTCTGTGCCAGGCTCAAGAAAGGCCGGGAAACACCACACCTGCCTGCAAGCTTGGAACCGCTTGGAACGCTCGCTCCTCCTCCGGGCAAAGTTTCCTGCACGAGGACGGCTAGCCGGTCAGCCAGGGGGCTCTGGCTGCCCCACACCCTTTGCGCGTGCCTTCCACCTGCGGCAGCAGTGCGGGGGTCGAGCTCTGGCGTCACACGTCCTGACTGAGAGAACTGTGACTGGGAAGACGCGGGGCTTCTGCTGCAGTGGCCCCTTGACTTCAGAACTACCCGCCTCGAGGAGCAGAGGAGGAGTTTCTGGGCTGGCTTCTACGAGGAGCTCCCAGGCTTTTTAGAAAGCTGTGATCTCCCCTTTGCCTTCAGGGCCTGAGCTGATGGAGGAGGAGAAGCCCCTCTAACTCGAAGCAGCTGTGGATTCAGGTCTCAGTCTGAGGCTGTGTGCTGCTGAGGCAACATTTGAGCATGCGGATTCCCAGCATTTCTGCCGCATGGAGCTACTAATGCTGCTACCTGGAACGTGAACTTTGCCTTGCTGGAAACTGGGCTCGGCTTTGCTGGAACCCAAGTTCTTGCCGACAAGCCCCCCGAACAGACAAAGACCACAATTTGTCTAATCCCCTTTCAAAGCCAGCAAAGCGAGCGCCCTTCACCTACATGCTGTGGGAACGTGGTCTTGTTCGGCACTGAGGCCGCCTCGAAACACGGAGGAAAAGCAGCAGAGCCCAGAAGAGGGGAACTGACCCTGCCGGCTCATTTCCCTGCCCCAGAGCTCAGAGTAGCTCCCGGAGGGAAGGCTGAGCAGGTTTCTCGAGGGCTGCCCCATACCAACCTGCCAGTTTGAGGTGAGGTTTATCTAAGGAGCTTAGCAGGATATTCTGGGGCTTCAGGTCCAAGTGGGAGATATTCTTGTCATGAAGGAACTTCAAGGCACAAGCTGGTGAGAAGAGCAGAAGCCGCACTCAGACCCCGGAGGGAGCCCTCGGGCCTCGTCCTTTAGCAAACCTGCCCCACCAGCCACTAGCAATGCTCCCGGCTGAACCTGTAGGGCAGAAAAAGGGCCAGTCCACTTGACCCGCTTCTGAGTGTCTCCTTGGCCTCCTGATCAACAGCTGCTATTTCTATTGTTACTGAGTAACAACGCTGGATCTTCTGAGCGTCGGGACGTTTGCTCTGCCCCGGAGCTACCCGAGAGCCCTCCTAACGAGAGCCCCCAAAAGGGGCGCAGAGCCGGCTGCCTTCTCCCTTGGTGCATCCAAGCCTGTATCGTTGGCGCTGGCTGGCAGCAACAGCTCCCCAGCGTTCAGGCAGGATTCGCTCCGAGGCCTAGCTGGAGCTGCCACGGATTCTCGCACGGGTGCCTGGGAGCCTCCTGCTGAACTCCAGACCCGTCAGCTCTGCCTCTCGCACTCAAGTCCTCACCCAGCTGCTGGAGGAAGATGCGCGCAACCTTCTCCGGAAGAATGCGTCGCGCGTGGATGAAGCGGGACAGGTCGCCCCCGGCACAGAATTCCATGATCAGGTAGATGTACTCCTTATCCCACTAAAAGGCAGGCAAAAGGGACATCCAGGAATACAGTCTCTCTCGCGCCCATCAGGTTTCATTCCCAGAGCCTGGAGGCGGGTTCTAGACCCAAAGCGACAAGGAAGCACTGCATTCTGCTCGGGCACAGCAGCCTTAAGACATGCACACCTGGACCAGGGCGCAGATCCTCAGCCCCAAGGTCCCAATTTGGCTACCAGAGTTCCTCATTCGACCACCCCCTTTTGCCTCACATTTGGTGGTTTTCCCAGCTTTTGTGCAAATTTTAATGCATCATTTTGTCGCTTTATCCATTTTAGTTGGTCCTGTAAGCTGCTCAGAGTGCCAAATAATTAAAGCTCCGTCCCGCACCCCTAAAAAGTGAAATGCCTCTTGCTCTGCCCCTCTGGCCTGCAGCCCTGCTCACAGCAGGAAGGTGGAGCTCAAGAGCTTCTCTGAACATGCATTCGGCACTCGAGGGAAGGACGTTCTGTGTCCATGACCCAGACGAATCAGGACAGGTTCAAAGCAGGTCAACAGTGCTGGCCTGCAGAGTGGAAAACGAGGCCTCGGAGGGAAGGGGAGCATTGCAAGTTCCCATATGCTGAGTCAGGCCCCTGGTACATCAGGCCACTGCCAGGCAGCAATGCCAGAATGGACACTTGACACTGACAGGCAGCAATGCCAGAATTGACGCTTGACACTGCCAGGCAGCTATGCCAGAATTACAGGCAGGGGTTTTTTGGACCCTACCTGGAGATGCTGAGGCTACCTTTAATTCGAAAAAGAGAAGTCTGGGATGGTGAAGGGTGACACGGCCAAAGGGGAGTCACACAGCAGAGGGTGAAGAGTTCTCCGCTGTGGGCTTCATTGAGGGAAGGGATATTTGCAGCTGAACATCGGAAGAAACTGCTCAAGAAGGCTCTCGGCCACACTGGAGGGCCCCTGCCATCCAGGCGTCTCAAGCACAGTCTCTTCCAAGCTTGCAAATTGTCCCGGCAGAGGATTCCGGATTGCAATCCCGCCAGTTTGCTTGCGCCGCATCCACTCCACCCCTCCACCTGGCCACACCTGCCACTTCGGCCCACCTGGAAGTCTTTCAGCTCCACAATGTGCGGATGCCGGACAGTCTTGAGGATTTCAATCTCCGTCAGCAGGTTCTCCACAGACGCCTTGTTCAGGTTCTTCTTGCTCACGCACTTGATGGCCACGACCTCCCGGGCGTTCTTCTGCCGTCGCAAAAGGGGAAATTGGCCACATGATTTCAGCAAATTGGAGATCACCTCCAGGTCACCTTCGACCTCTTTTTATTATTCGGTATCACAAAACCAAACCTGAGCCCTAAAAAGGCTTTTAAGAGAGAAGGATATAACGGACTGGATGACCTCACTGTGCTCAGTCATGGGAGTATTTCCTTGTTCTCTTTTTCAGAAAAGGAAATGGACCTAGTTTATGTTTAATTCAACAAAAACGGATGTTTCAAGTATATGGAGCCCGCTGGGTGATTTGGGGCCAGGCACAGACTCTCAGCCCAAGTTACCTCGCAGGGTTGCTGTGAAGTTAAGTGAGAGGAAGAGAAGAATGATATAAGTCACTCTGGATACCTTGAAAGGAAAAAAGGCAGGATGCAAGTATAATAAATACAATAAATAAATATTGGATTCTTCTGATAAGTGCTTAATTAAATCAGCCAATTGTTGGAGGTACAAATGCTTCTCTTTTTCATCTGTTTTGGCAATGCCCAAAACAGCTTCCTGCAGGGGAAAGTTCATAGGGAAAGTTCTTCAACGGCCAGTGATACCCATTTCCATCTTAACTATCTCCCTGTCTCTTGGAATATAATGCAATTTTAATGTAAACGGACTTTCCATTCCCCTTTGACACCTATTTATTTATTAGATTTATTTTCCGTCTTTTTCTTACAAAGAACTCAGAGCCACTCAGAGCATCATTCTCCTCCTGCTGTTCTCACTCTTATCCCCACAGCAACAACCCTGCGAGGTAGGCTGGGCCAAGCGTCTGTGCCTGGCCCCAAAGTCACCCAGCGGGCTCCATGGCCTAGCGGGGACTCGAACCCGGATCCCCGGAGTCCCGGTCCCGTGCTCTCCACCACTGCCGTAGCATTAGCGAAAAGACTAATGCCATGACACAGGAAGACTTGTAAGGCTTGCAAGAAGAATTATTTATTTATTGCAAGCTGCCCCGAGATGTTTGTAGGGAATGGGACAGAAAAGCCTTCAATCAATCAATCAATCAATCAATCAAAGGCATAAATGGCGATTTGTGATTGCAATGGGTCTGGGATGAAACCTGCAGTTTTGAACAGCGGCCTCCCGGCAGACTTTACTGCTGGATCGCTACGTGGACCCTTGGGCCGCCTCCGCTGACGCTGACGCGCGGCTGCTCCGACCCACGGGGTGTTCTGGCATGTTCAGATGCACGGAGCGGCCCGCGTGTTTGAAGCGCCCCGTCCTTGGACTTCGGCACAGCCGCGCAGCCTTCCGTGCAGGGCAGCGGCGGCCCCGCGGGACCGGCCGGTCCTCCAGCACCGGGCAGCGCAGGCGGGCCCGCTCCGGGCCCCGCCGCCGCCCCCTCCCGCGACCCGCTCGCCCCGTGCCGCACGACCACAGCTCCCCTGGGGCGCGGGCCCGCTGCCGCGGCTGATGGGAGCTGTGGGCGGCGCGCGCTGCAGAAGTGCAGCCGGGCCGGGGCTCTGGACCTCCTGGACCCGGACACTGCTGCCTGCGCCGACTCGCCCGGGGGCGCCAAGCCGCGGAGAGACCCTCCGCGGGCGGCGGCGGCGCGGTGGTGCGCCCGCCCGCCCAGCCCAGCGAAGGGCCCGCAGCGCCCCGCGCCCGCGCCCGCGCCCACCTTCCTGTAGGCCTTGAAGACCGTGGCGTAGGTGCCGCTGCCCAGGCGCTCGGTCAGGATGAAGTCCTCCAGCTGCGGGGGCGCCCAGCCGGCCATCCCGCCGGGCCCACGCACGGGCGCCGCCGCCGAACCCGCCCCTCTCTGGGACCCTGCGGCGCGGCGGCGGCGGCGGCTTCCT